TCATAGCTTTATCCTTATTTTTTAAATGGCCTACATATCTCCTGCAGATGCATTGATTATTGTCAGAATTTAACTGCCCGACAAGCGATCTTCGAAGTATTTTGCTTACGTACTATATTATTATATAATTATTATTAATTTCTTGTGTTTTGGGGCATTGTTATGCGATGTTGTTAATCTGCCTTGTATTGCTACTGCGGTATTAATTTGTTCTTGTTGTTGTTGTTGCTACTATACTGCTGCTGCTGCCAGTGCTGTTGTTGTTGTTGTTGTTGTTGTTGTTGTTGTTGTTGTTGTTGTTGTTGTTGTTGTTGTTGTTGTTAATGTTGGAGATGGGAAAGGGGGGGGGGGGGTAATCAGACAGGCGTGGTCTGAGGGTTTAAAAATAATTTCGGGGCTTATAGGCCAACAGGAATTTAACGCTCGAGCTATCAAAACTGGAACAATATTGTTCTTTTGCAAAACAAAAACAAAACAAAAACCCATAATCATACAAAATATGATTTCGAACTCGAGACACAAATGTAACCAAAAGGAGTTATATATGTTTTCAAAACAAACAAACAAATAAACAAACAAACAACAAGCAAACGGAAGGGCCTATTATATAGGGCCTATAATATAGGCCTAATAGAGGGATCTTTATTTTTACACATGACATCGCGAAGTCAGATGGTTTTGGGCGTGTTTTCGTAAAGATCATTGGCGGTTTTCCAGATCACCCAAGCGTGTGGGGGAGAGTCGCGACAAGAAAAGCTGAGACAGATTGCCAGTCTGGTTCACTAAGGTCAAAGTTCATAGCTTATTTTTGTGTGATAACCAGATGCTCATGCTATTATGAAAATTTAATTTCTCATGATTATTTCTCTTTTTCAATCTAGCAGTGCCTTCTAAAATAGATAGTGATGTAAAACAGTGTTCTTCGACGAATACCTTTATGTATTGGGTTATCTGAGCCAACTTCTCACATTCTTATTTTGGTCACTCATCGTGAAGAGAATCTGGCAGTCTTGGATTAAAGATGGACGATTTGTTTTGAAGGAAAGAAGCAGCAGCAGCAAAGATGCCACTGCGTATGTATCCAATTCGTACGGATCAGTATTGTTTTTATTTTCTGATAATTTTGTTCGGTTCTTGAGGATTTATTTATTCATCCTTGACTCTGTTTCGATCGTTTTTAAAAACGTGCATATTGCCAGTAAATCATGAAAAAGATCCTGGTTGACATGAGTGCCTGCCTGGCCTAAACTAAATGATGAGGAGACGATCATCATCATTCAGATTAGTTAGATGACATGAATGATGACGGTGTGATAATTATAGAATAGTTACAATGATTTAACTTGACTCAGGAATTAAAATGTTATCGTGATATGGGCATTACCCTTATGAATTAATGGTAGATGCCTAGATTCTAAATAGTTTGCTTTACTTTAGTTTAGTATTCTTTGGGTCTTCCATAAAATTCAAAATGCGGAGTGATTATTCTGGATATTATTCTTTCTCAATAAAATTGACACTATTCTCACCCGTTTTTTTCGTTTCGGGCATCATAGGACCCCTGTCATTTGAGTGAGCGCTCCAGGCAATACAAATTAAACTCCCCTCCCTGTCTCACTACGCTGAGCGCGCGAGGCGACTAAAATCACCAACAGACGGGCCAGCTGAGCCAGCTCTGGAGCGCGGGAGGCGACTTGTCGATTTGAGGGAAAACCTTATCTTTTGAGCGAATAGCGTCACCTCTTAATACTATTTACTGGTTCTGTAATGGAAAATTTTACTCTTGAATGGTTTTAACCAATCAATATAAGAACAAAATAAGCCTAGATCTAGTAGTATCTAGGCTAGGGTCAAGAGAAGGCACGGCGTGCCTTAAAAATAAGGAAGAGGCTAGCCGTACTTAATGACGGCTAGACTGGCAGTCTAGCCGTAATTAAGTACGGCTAGACTCACAGTCTAGCCGTACTTATGCTTATATGATGGCTAGACTGACCATTTACAAAAGAAAGTGGCTATTCTCACCCGCCGGAAGTTCTCGCAAGATCAACTCCTCCCCTCTTCTCTCTCTCTCTCTGTCTCTTTTTGAATACTGTCTATCGGTGTGGACGATCAAATTGACCAAAACAAAGTTAAAAAATGATGTTAAAACACAAAAGTAAATTAATTTGGTTGTCTACAAAGATGCTGCTACGGCTATTTAACTTTTCGAATCGAGCCGAACTACGCGGGTCGCCATTTTGTTTTGCCCGGAAATTCTCGCGCTACTCCTCTCTCTCTTTCTCTCTCCCTCTCCACTGCCCACAGACAAAATTGTACGCTTTTAGTAGGCTACAGTTGTAATGGAACGTTTGTTCACGGCACAGAATTCTACAATTTTTCTGTTATCACAGTGTAGAATTCTGTGGTTTAGGGTGAACGCAAAATTTGGTGAACGCGCACCGGGTGAGAATAGCCACAAGACTCGCCTGCACTATTCTCACTCCGGGTGAGAATAGAGGTGGCCTTTACAAAAAATAGGCCTACTGAATTGTAAATATACATTTTTAGTGTGCAGTACCTAAAGTATTTGTATTTGAGACCAAACCAGGTGCCGTAATGACAGTGCATGTATTTTAAACCTCCTGTTTTCTTACCAATTTGACTCTCTTTTCTGTCAGTCACAGATTGACATTTAGTGCTCATATTCCTAGAGTATCAGAGCAAGGAGATGTACGGTTTTGGAGATATGGGTCTATTGGTTTGGCAACTACTGTATTTCTTGTATGTAGCAGTGATGACAAAAACAGTATAAGCAGCAGGGCAAATTATGGACTTTAAATACCATTTGTTTAGTAAACAAAGACTTTGTACACTATGAACTCCATTCATAATGGTAATATGAATGACAAGCTTTGTAACAATGACGCAGTGCACAGAACATGTCATCATTGTTATGTACAAGAAAGGATACACATTATACATTATCATTGACAACACATCACAATAGTGAAAGGCTGTACAAATAGTTAAATACAGTTATCAAAGCCTCAGTACCAGAAAAACACTTGTGTAAAACAACTAAAATGAGGCAAAAGCACAAAATCAATTGAGCTGACCTGTACATAACAGTAACAGTGATGACAAACATGACTTGTACGTAACAATGATGACACAATGAACAGGAAAAGACAAAAGTCTTGTCTCCAGAGAGAAAAGCGCCCTTTAAGAATAAAAAAAACCCAAGAGAGGTTTCTTTTGCTTTGAAAGAGATACCAGGTCATATAAAAGACAGTAGACAATCACAATTACGTTGCTAATTATGACAAAGAGTACTCGTACATAACAGTGATGACAAAACATACTGGGAAAAGGTAAAATCATGCCTACAAAGAACAAATTTGCACTATGAGATCACACAGATCAATAAAGGCGTATTTTGTTTCTAAATGAATCTGGCATGTATGAAATATATGTTGAAAACTTATTGATATTAGCAATTATGAAAAATATTACTTGTACATAACAATGATGACACAATGACACAATGTATTGGAAAAAGGCATATCATGCCAACAAAGAACAAATGTGTACTTTTGAGTTAGACAGATAAACAAGGACATGTTTGTCTATTTGTTTGAGTAAAAAGAGCACACATGACTTAAATAATGTTTGCTCTTAGGACAATGTAATTTCTAGTACGTCGGTCAGTCTTGTACGGCTGCATGACGACACCCCAAACGTCATCACTAAGCACAAAAGCTAAATCTATAACCACAGAAATGATCCATCTCTCGAAGTTTGTTCACACATCACACTCTTGTTCCAGGAATCCAATGTAAACACCACAATTTCACTAAAATATTCAATAGGGTAGCCTAAAAACACGCAAAACAGCCCAGTACGTCACATTCAACGCAAGATTCTTGTGCGTAACCGGAGGGTGACGGCAATAACTACTTTCGTTTTTCTCTTTACCCCGTTGCTCCCGCTGTTCTGGGGAAGCGGGTGAGGGGAAGTCACTCAAGAAAACAATTATATCCGGGCACTGTTGATGATCCGTTCAAAACAAAAGTAGGCTAAAATTCGGACTTCCGGTACGTCGCAAAGTGACGCCATTAACGGCGAATGTTGAACAGCCGACGGAAATCGTAGATCTAGGAACCCGATGTTCCTTTCGCGCATCGCGGCTTTTGAACTATTGAATAAACGACGAAAAGCAAAAAGATTTATCCAGCTGTGGTGATTCTACTGAAAAATAATGGTGTTTTCTGAAACACCTAGTCCGTGACGACACCCCTGACGCACAAGTGATCCGAATTATTCGTTTATTTGCAAACAAATAAACCAATTTCTTGAGCAAGTGAACCTTTCTCGATCACAAATAGCATAGAATCAAAGCACAGGTTTAAAAAAAACACCCAAAAATACTAAATTTTTGTCATTCTTGGAAGTTTGCATTGGTGTGCTCAAAATGACACTCCAGGAATCACTAAAAAACGGACATTTTTGGCACAAAATTTACAAACGCAAGATTATAAAGCTGACATAGGGTCTGAAACTGCTAATGCAGGTTCTACATCCTATATTTGACATGTGTATACGTTTTGGAGGAATAAATACTAATGCATCACATTTTATGCACACAATTGTGAGATGTGTGTGTTTTTCCCCATGTTTTGGCAATGGCTCATATAGGGTCTAATTCTGGAGGAATTCCAAAATGAGCAACCACTATGAAAGAGGGCTAGGGGTACTCGAGGTAGCCTAGGTCCCTTCTTTAGGAAGAGGCTAGTCGTACTACTTATTATTGATGGCTGAATTGTAAATGAAATTTTTAGTTTGCAATGCCTGAAGTATTTGAACTTCAGACAAAACCAGAAGGCGCTTTACTGACTTGCATGTATTTTAAACCTGAATAATTACTAGATCGAGATCTAATGAGACCTGTGTACTTAACAGGTTTGAGTCGATAGGGCCGAACCTAGATCTAAGTACGGCTAGACTCTCAGGCTAGCCGTACTTTAAGTATGGCTAGCCACTTCACCTTCTTTATTGTACAAGTGTGACATTGTGTGTGTTATGGAAGTCCTTATCTTCTAATAACCCTATGACATAGTTTGGACAAAATATGGGATTTGATAAAAAAAAGATTCACTCATGATGCAATTAGAACTAAAATGTTGGTTGTGGTATTATTTTAAATTCATCAATATCATCACGGACTTGTCTCAGTCTCATGTTTAGATATTCTAAAGCACTTTCCTTTTTCCTTTTTATCTGCTTTACACAATTTTTGACTTAATTATAAGTATATATAAATATATACATACTCCTTATTGTGTTTTCTTTTCTTTATTTGTATTGCAAGCATTTTTTAAAGTCAAAAAAAGTTTATTCTCCTTAATTTTTTTCAGGAATACTGTGGCCAGTCATTTGTAAATTTGACTGCTTGTTGGCGTTTGCTTGACGGCATTTCAATGGTAAGCCCATGGCACATAGGCGAAACCATATACCTCGGGACAGATATCACAGGGAGTACGATTCACACAGCAGCGACTCAGATTATTCAGAAACCGATGAACGCAAGAAGACTTGCATAAAGAAATCAAGGTAGCCTTCTTATTTGTTTTTTTTTATGTTGAAAGGTTGTGTAAGTTGTTTTTAATGTTTTCCAAGTTTTATTTATGAGAATGATTGTAAATTATTAATGTGAGGCTTCCTGGGGAAATCAGGCGCTCGTCAAAATTATGAAATTGAAGGAACCGACATTTTCCTGCCAGTTTTTTGCAATTCTTATCGCATTTTTGTTTTTTGGCTCAACACCTTTTATGTCCATGTAAAAAAACACCATGTGAATTTTACTGAAAAACATTGATTAAAGGCACAAAATATGTAGTTTTCCAGCTTTTAACGACTCTCAGGCTATTGAAGTTACCAAACTTTGGCAACCATTTTCTCGCTAATTTCATCACTGAAACCAGACGCCGCCGCCTCCTTCAATCGTAAATATCTCATTCAAGATAGATGGGTACTTTTTTTTACTGAAAACAAAGCAAATCAACTCCACGTGCCCAAAAACTGACGAGCGCCTGATTCCACCTTGTCATGACTCATAATATGATCTTTTGCTCAAAGATTGATTCCCTCTGCATTACAGTATTACTTTGTCAATAGCGCTGTCAATATAGACTGGTACAGTATATTGAAAATTAATTAAACATTTTTTTATTATTTATCATCATATGATCAATAATTTCATGGATTTCGTTGTTACGGAATTGTCTATAACTACTCATCATTTTCTGATTTGAAGTGTAATTCCTGAGTTTGTCTTTTTCTGTCATGTGGATAAGTTTTGGGCACAGGTATGTTTGAGCTTACTTGCATGTATGTCATGTGTATTTTCTCTTCTCACGCCTCTCATCTCTTTGGAAAGACAGCAGCTGTGGCATGAAAATGAACTTTTTTGGGTGGGTGGTTGGCGGATGCTCTGGTGTTGTTTGCTTCATTTTTCCTGTCAAACAGCTATCATCCTTCTCTCTTCCTCCTTTTTTTTTTGGTTTATTACTCTCTTGTGACACTTCTAATCTTGGGCGCTTATATGACCTTATTGTGTTGCAAGTGCCATAAAACTCTGACTAAAACTAAAACCTTTTTTGTTCTTTTCTCTTGTGTGTCCAGCTCCCTCGGTCCTCCTCGCTCCAAGCCGTGCCTGGTCAACCGCACCCGCTCACAAAGTTTGGACAACACCAGCAGTAACGAAGACTGCCCGTCGTGCGAAGTACGTGCCAGCACCAGCATGTACTCCAGAACCCGTCCGCACAATCTAGATTTACCGCAGCACTTGCTTCAACAGAACGGTAAGTGTTTACAGGTTCGATATATTCCATATTAAGTCTGCCGTGCATTTATTTTGTCCTTGGGCAACATCCATGTACATTTATTTTGTTCATGACATACTGTGCTCAGTTTTCAAAGGCTTTTTACTTTTACTTCTCAAAATTTCTGCATTAGGAATGCGGAGAGACACACAGTCTTTTTGCTTATTGCTACGGCTGTCTGGTAGATGAGGATGCAACACTTTGTTCTTGTCTAGGAAAACAGGACGGGAAAACTACTTACTTTGTGTTTGAGAGCCTTGAGTCAACTAATTACTGGTGAGGTGTAGGAGGGGATGGCAGAAGAAACAAGACTGTATGTAGGTTTTACTTCTTCTTACTCCACAGGATCACAACTGATTTCTCTGTAAGGCTTCTCTAGTTTGTTTGTTGTCTATGAATTTCTACGAAAACTTATTCAATGTTTACCAGTGTCTGTGGTGTAGCGGTTTGGTGCTTTGTTGTGGCACGCAGGAGAGTTTGATTCCTGGGGAAGGAGAAATTTTAGTCCGGTGTTTTGGTGTTTGTTGGGATGCTGTATCCCTCTCAGCCCGCGTTGGCCCTGATGGGCAGGGTCAGAAATCCACCTCCTTAACCCTTTCACCCTCAGAGCTATCCCTGCCCAACAAGGCTGAAATTCTGGCAAAAGGGACCTAACTCCGCTTAGACTGCATGACTATATTATTTTAAAAAATCATAAAAAATCAGAGGATGAGTCTAAAATTACAGTTTAGGTGTCAGAGCACAGATAAATGAATAAACTACAAGAAAATGTATGGTTTTGTACGAAAAATAATTGTGTATTAGGTTAAAAAAAATTCTGAAGAGAAAAAAAAACCCCAAAAGACACAACCCGCTTTTTTTGCCCGCAGAAGTTCATGATGTTTTACCCAGAACAGCCTTTTGCAAGGCCTAACCTGGCCCAAATGGCATCCTGTCACTGTCTCACTTCCTCTGCCTAGCTTTGTAAAGTTTCTGGTCTTTACACAGTAGTGGCACGACCCCTTTTTACCATGTAGGTATCCTGATCACAACATGCTCTAAAGGATTTGTTGTGACAGAGCCCACAGTCCCAGTGTTGCTCCTCCCTTTTTTACGTCGTAGTGCAGCAAGTATGTAGTACTAGATCTAGCTAAAGTGCTGTGGGTGCTAGGCCTATCTTCTTCATCAGTCTTCTAAATCATCACCTCCAGCAACGATCTCACCACCAACATCACTATCATAGTTGTTCCCCTCCCCCTAGAGCCTAGATCTAGACCTGCTACATCGTGTTCGCTCTCCTACTATAGTTCTCGCTCTCTCTCTCTCTTTCACGACTGAGTGTCCGAGTGACTACTTGTACTACTAGCACTAGATCTAGCCCCTTGGTCGACGATATCGGCATTTAAGTCCCAATTATAAGTGTCTCCATCGTATACAGTGCCTGTAGCGACGCAAAATTTCACCCACGAAGTTAGATTTAGGTCTCTAAAAAGCACGAAATTAAAAAAATCGCCGCTCTCGCGTGCTTCGATCGATTTTCACCAAATAAACACGACAGTAAAGGGCAACCACTCTAGATTCTCGCTATAAGCTGGGCAATCTCGTGCGACCTCGCAGGAAGCGAGAGAACGTAGAAACGAAAGTAGTGCAAACGGGTGAATCGAGTGGGCGTGTCGGCGCACATCGGCGACTGCGGGGGTTAGCGATGACGGCGCACATCGGCGCCTCCGAGTGGCAAAAGGTTAATGATCCAATTTGTGTTAATGGGAGCATAAAAAATGCCCACTTTAAAAAAAATGCATTAAAAAAAAGCAATTGTTTGTCTTGGACTTTGTTCAGGGCCAGACTATCCCATGGATGGGGCCGCAGCGATGCAAGCCTCACCGAAGCTGAACTGTAGCAGCCCACGGCCCGTGGAGCGCCTGACCTTGGTGGTGGATGAGACGAGGTTTGTCGTGGATCCAGAACTGTTCCGGCAGCGGCCAGAGACAATGTTGGGAAGGTACGCTGCACTGACTACGTCAAAGCCAATCACACAAATCTGCACTGCTAGTGAAAGAAATGGTTGCGTTCTATGTTCATAGACCTGGTAACCAATCTGATCAAATTTGAGCTCTCAGATTTCCTTTTGCTTTTTGAACTGCTGTCGGATTTGAATAAAACACATTAAAAAAAATAATGTTTCCATGACTTGTACGCAACTGATCGTAAATGACATTGAAATACTCAAGTTTATTGGTGCTTATATGCAATATTTGCGCAACTTATCGTTAATGATGCAAAGGTACACAGTTTTATTTGCGTGTATTTTGCTGAATACATGTTTTTTTGCCACATTTTGTTCAGAACGTTGAGACTCCCTTGTTTTATTCACCAACTCTTATCTGCTTCTTCTCTATCCATCTTTTAATTCTGCTTGCTTGTCTTGCTTTTTCCTCAGACGGTAAATGAATTTCCTAGTATGATGTGTTTCTCTTTGTCCAAACTAACAAAAAATGTAAGTCTTGAGGCTTTGTCAATGTTATGTTCAAGTGCTTTGTAATGTTCTTTATCTTCAGAATGTTCACAACGTCTTTGGAAAACAATTTTACTCGACCCAATGAAAGAGGAGAGTTTGAGGTTGCTGATGGCATCACAGCCACTGTTTTCCGTGCCATTTTGGTAAGGAGCAACGTGCTGTAGCTTTTGAATTATTCAGTTCCACGAACTAAAACTTTGAAAATTACAACAGCCCGTGTTGAAGGTTTAAAACCATCACCATTGTCACTATCACAATATGGGGGGGGGGGGAGGGGGGGGGAAGAGTATATGGCTCTTGGTATGTTGATGGCAAACAAAAGTGTAGAAAACTGTTCTTGCATCAATAATATAAATCATTTGTAAGCTTTTATGATGCATCTTGTTGAGTCCATTCCTTATCGTGCTGCACTGCTTGAAAGAAAAAGTGAAGATAAAATGGTGAGAAAATGTCGGGATTATACTCAGAGACCCTCCATTGGCGTCTATGGTGTAGTTGTTTGGCACTCTGATGTCACAAGCAGGAGTCTCAAGTTCAATTCATGAGTGGGGTGAATTTTTATGGAGTATCCCTTCCCTGTCCTTGTGCTGGGATGTTGCATCCCTCTCAGCCCGGGTCTGTCTGCTGGGATGTTGCATCCCTCTCAGCCCGGGTCTGTCTGCTGGGATGTTGCATCCCTCTCAGCCCGGGTCTGTCTGCTGGAATGTTGCATCCCTCTCAGCCCGGGTCTGTCTGCTGGGATGTTGCATCCCTCTCAGCCCGGATAGTCCTGGAAGGTAAGGTTGGAAGCCTGCCTCCTGAATGGTCTAAAGTGTGTATAGGGGGTAGGGGGGGTGTTAAAACACCTACAATTATTTTTGTTGTTGCTGTTATCGATCCAGCAACAGCTGGGCTCTCGCCCTTCTGTCCAATGCCATGTAGTGATATGTGCAGGTTTGCTGCAGTTGCTGTAATGTTCCATAGAGTGTGTTGTCAGTGTTAAGTCTTGGACGTAGAAGTGTAGCTCTGATGTCATTTAGGGCTGTACAGTGGAAAAAGAATCATTTTGGTAAAAAAGAGAGAGAGAGATGTTGTGTCATGAGTGTTGTTTGTGCTGCTCCAGGATTACTACAAGACCGGTGTGGTCCGGTGCCCTCCCTCCGTGCCGGTCCATGAGCTGAGAGAAGCTTGCGACTACCTCCTTGTGCCCTTTGATGCCTCCACCGTGAGGTGCCAGAATCTCCGTGAGTTCATTTGTTGCCTATTCCTTTTTAATATTGTCAGCTTTTCACTGTTTTTTTTGTTGTTGCTTGATTAGATATCAAAATTATGAGTTGATTACCGCATGGTTTTAACTTTGTTGACTTTCCTTTCTCATTGAAAGGACAGAGAAGGTGTTACAAGAGTTAAGTAAGATAAAGTAGTGGGCTTGGATTCCGATACCAACTGCTTTCAGTGACTAAACAGTTGAGACATTGATGGACGGAAGCTCAATCTTTGAGGATCTCATTAAGACCATAGGTCAAATTTAGGTTTTTTATATTTGTCTGGCACTTGATGAATAATACATGACAGTGCAAGAGAGAATTGTTGATGTCTTGGGAGTTTCTCAACTGTGTGTAATTTCCACTGAAAAAACTTGTTGTTGTTGTTGTTGTTGTGCCAGGTGGGTTGCTGCACGAGCTGTCCAACGAAGGCGCTCGCAAACAGTTCCTGGAGTACCTCGAAGACTTGTTGTTGCCTCAGATGGTCCTCTGTGCTCAGGTCAGTTGTTGCTCATTTATATAGTGGCAGCTCTTATCCCCTCTCGGGTTGTAAGTTAACGCTCTTTAAAAAAAATATATAAATGTCAGGCATCGTGGTGAGATCAGGCACTTGTCACAATAATGAAATCAAAGATATTGGCATTTTCCGCAAGTTTAGCCATTTTTATTAATTATTTCAGGGCGCTCGACACTTTATGTTCCATCAAAAACATATTTTTGTGCGCATTTTACTGGAAAAACATATTTTAAAGACACAAAGAAATGTAAATTTGCAGTTTCCAAGGACTCTTTAAGTTGAGGAAATAACTCAACTGTAACAGCTATTTTCTCGTTACTTTTACCTCTGAAACCAGACGACCCCACTTCGTTCAATCGCAAATATCTCGACTACTATTCAAGATAAACGAGTATTTTTTTTCATCAAAAGATAGAAAAATGAACTAGTTTTAAGATGATACCAGTAACTCTACCATGCCCAAAAATTGACGAGCTGTGTGTTTTGTGATCTGGATACCTGTTTTGTTTGTTTTCCAGCGAGGTGACCGGGAGTGCCATATCGTGGTGCTCACGGATGATGATATTATTGACTGGGATGAGGACTACCCACCACAGATGGGGGAGGAGTATTCACAGAGTAAGGAAATTACTGCTTTTTGAAAATTCGTCCATTGTTGCTTTGTAAGAGCTTTTATTCTCTAACATAGTTGAGGGGCTCATCAGATTTGGCAATGCAAATGAATTAGTTGGGATGTTACGGTGATTTGATAGCATATTGAATTTATAAAACAGACATGATACTCCGTTGTTACAGTGATTGGATGCTGCACTGTAATGGTGATTTGATCGCATATATTGAAACTATTAAACAGAACCGATGGCAAGGTTGTGTTTATGAAGTGCGTGCACACATGCGCCTGTGTTTGTGAAGTGAAAGAATGGCTTGTAAAAGAGCCTGTTTTTGTGAGACAATCGGTCAGTTTGACCACGTGAGGAGAGACGAACAAAAGGCTAAACCAGTCTCCCGGCAGTTGACCTGATTGGCAGAGCTACATCAAGTAGGCGTACGATTTCAAATGTTCATTGTTTTTTCTAGCCATCTTTTATTCAATAAACTTCCTGTTTTTGAAGAAAGCGGACACAAAGCAATGAAAGAATCATTACCTGTTTGTTTGTTTTGGGTTGTTTCTCCATGATTTCATGATTTGAAGCAACCCCCCCCCTCTGAAGTTCACAATGCCTTGGTGTCATCGGTGCATTCATGGCTTTAGTTATTGAGATTGTTGACTAGTTTCAGCTTTTGATGCGGTTCCCTGTGGGTATGTGGCTGTGAACATGGGCAGGGCTTATCAGCTCTGGGTGGGG